GATGCTTTAACATGGCAGGAACGGACAGCGAATTCAAACAACAGTATAATCATTTGACACAATCCAAGGAAAATTGCGTTTTCGTGTTTTGAGGGGCCATTTTGGTTTCGTTTTTCCCATAGCTACGACATTCCTGGCTCATGTTTTATGCATTTGTTTTGGCAATTGGGTCGGCAGAAGGCGTCTTCGAATGTATTTTACACTCACCTATCATAGTTCCAACAATTAAAGCCACCCCACTGAAGAGGCCCAGCCTGAAATCAAAGAGAAAAAGTGTTAAATAAAATGCTTAAAGGGGATTTATATTTATGTCAAGGGTCTCTGGGCTTATAATGTTTTATCAATGAATAAAAAAATATATTATCTATAGCTTGTTAATTATTCAGTTCAAATTAAAAATATTCTAATGAGGGCACTTGATTTCAAGAAACACTAAAACAAAACCAAAGTCATGATTTCATCATTTAGATCTTTTTAGCAAAGTCTTAAGTCAAATAAATAAATATTCGTAGATAGATGGCAAAAATGTATGTACGAACTTGTTAATTTTCAGTGAGTTGAGCAAATCATTTAATTGACGGCAATGTGTTAAAATCAAATCAAGTGGATAGCGCGTTTTAGCAAAGTAAATAGAAAATGGTTACGACTACACTGAGAACATGTATTTTTTATAAGAGCAAGAGTATGCCAAGTTAATTGTTTCTTCAATCCAAGATTCCAAAAAGATGTAGCACCATACTAAAACTTTTTCTGAACAACAACATATTATAATTGAATTTCATCAATCAATTAAAATAATATTATTGAATTTTGTTGCAAGAGTGAATTCAAACTGAATAAGCCCTGGTATACTTAAAATATCATTAAGGTACAATATTTCATATATAATACGAGTCTTATCATTTTTTAAATAGTAATATTATAAGATCATAATAGGGTCCTTTATAACAAGAACAGATAAATATAATAAATATATTTTAATTTAACAAAAAAGAATTCCCATAGCTCTAGATAAAAATGATGTATGACAGCTCTATTAGGAATATAGTTGTTAGATCTTATAGATAGGATCTTTAAAAATGATTTAAGCCAGATCAGTTAGGAATATCTTAAGATAGGTCCTTTAAAAATGTATTATGCCAGATCTTTAAGGAATATAATTGTTAGATCTTATAGATGGGACCTTAATAAGTGTGTTATGCCAGATCTTTTATGAATGTAAAAGTCAGATCTTATAGAAAGGCAATTATAAAATGTATTATGGGAGATCTTTAAGGAATATAGTTGTTAGATCTTATAGATGGGACCTTATAAGTGTTCTATGCTAGATCTTTTAGGAATGTAGTAGTTAGATATTATAGGAAGGCAATTATAAAATGTATTATGGGAGATCTTTAAGGAATATAGTTGTTAGATCTTATAGATAGACAATTTTTATCGGTTTTCGAAACCATTGACCAAAACAAAATAGAATGAAATGAAATTTTGGGATAAACTGCCGTATAACCGGAGCATATGTTCTATTATATCTTGATGGGGCCTCAAAGGGCCGATCGTTACCTTCTCTCGAGGTGAACAGCGTGGTTCTGCGTTGAGCCATTCCTCTCCAGCGGCTTCCGCATCCGCCCGGTCCCTGATGCGTCGGTCTCTGGCGCTTCGGGCCCTTCTGTCCCAAGAGCCCCATTGGCGCACATGGTCCCGTTGGTCGTTGCTTTTGTTGGCACATTATGTCCTGGAGGATCGCGAGGGATCGTATCGAGAAAGAGAGAACAGAACACATGGATTAGCATTACTCATGGTCACCAGAAAAAAAAGATGGCCATCAGTTTGAGGCATATTTCTTATAAATATAAACAACCGAATCTTAATCGAATATATATGTATATTGGGACCGCACAATATTATTTCCTGTGTAGGCAGAGTTTATGAATGGACCTATGACACACTAGCACACACACACACACACACACACCTCTGTTATTATCTGTTGAATTATTTTTGCATGCGTTCTTTTGCAAGCAAAATAGTTGTGATATTTTATCGCGCATGGCATGGACGGATAACAAGTTGCTAAAATTATTTCGCCGCGAATTTCAGCTCTCAGCGAATACGAATATATATATATATAGGTGTATATATGTAGAATATATATATACGAATACAAGAAGTGTTTCAAAAAACGAGAGCGGGCCAAAAAAAGTGTAGCGCTGTGGGCGGCGATTCGCAGGCAACTGTTCGCATCCCAATTCTCGGAGGCGTCAAATAGTCCGCCCGGCGAAAGCTTTCCGAGCGGTATTCGGGCGGTACTCGGGCGGCACTCGGGCGGCATTCGGGCGGCACTCGGGTGACAGCCGAGCGCCGGAAAAACAGCCGACGAAGTGGGAGCACAACCACTTTCTCCAAACGAGATGAGCTACGTTCATGCTTTGTAATGGTACACAGCCAGCCGAGGATAATAATAACATCCCAAGTCAAGGGTTGAGCCATTTCCAAGTAACTGCTGTCGAAAACAGGACCTCATATCATTTTTATCGAGGATAACAAGAAGGAGTAAATGGAAATACAAATAAAAGCTTTAGACCGCAAACGACTTGTAGTAACTGGTTTATGGATACCATACCCATTTCTAGCATAGAACTTGCTTTCAAAGAGTTTATACAAAAACCCATTGTTAAAAATCTAAGATATGCATTAATTCAGTTTTAGTTTTCTATGATCTTTAACTTAATATGCAATAACTAAGATTCAAATATGCGGTTTGCAAAAAAAGAAACCATTTTTTTATAGATGGGATTATGATGGAAGTATTTTTTATGAATAAATTTTAGTCTGCTAATTTTAAATACCTTAAATAAATAAAATATCATTATTAATTAAAACCCATGGTAAATTATTTTATTTTAAATGGGTTTAGTAAGTGAGAAAATATATTTTCACTTAAGACATTTTAGACTGCTTATTTTGGATACACTTTGTATAGTATTATATCTCTAAGTTTTATTTACGATAGTATAATCCATGGTAAAGATAAGAGCCATTATCTCAGTAAACCCAAAGGAAAAGCCAATTTAAGCGTTCATAATAAACCGCTTTTTATAATTATTTTACTTATAAAAGAACCTAGTTGTGTATCCCGGTACAAATACCGCCGAAGACTCTATATTTCTCGATGGCTAGCTTTATTCTGCCTTGCTGACTACGTGACACACTGCGTATGTGTGAAAGTCCTCCTCCTTCCGACTGATTTATGCAATTCGCGGCGACTGTCGTCGGTTGGTTTGATATATATTTTGATTATAGAATTGTCAAGGTGAAGGCATCCATCCGCTCGCTGGCTCTCTTGATCTCCACCGGCTATTAATAGCTTTGCATAAAAATTTCAAATTGAATTAGTCGGCTAATTTCCCTGGCGACGTCAGAAGGTTCTCACTCGGCGCTCATTTAAATGTCCACTATAGTATAGTGTGGGTATTATCATTCCTGGTCGCCTCCATTCATCGACTCCTCTCAATTGATTGTTGGTTGCGCATTTCATTTGCCTCAATTGGCCGCTTATTAATGGTCATGTGCTGCTACGAACCACACTTTCACACACCCATATATCTTCTGCCATCGAAAGTCTGGAGGTCTACGTCACTGGATCCCGGGTTCTCGAGTTCTCGTTTTCTCGGGTTCTCGCCCACGAGGCGTCGAAATTTCATCAGCCCAACGAACGCCTGTACATAACACCCTATGTACATTCATAGTTCGAAAGTTCCCCGCACTATTTCCACTCGATTCCGCCATTGGACTTGCCCCCAAAAATCATATATGTACCAAGATAGTGTGCTAAGCAAATAGATATCTGCACGAGCATAAATATAATATGTATTCGAAAGATTTGGATACACACGCCGAAATGCCTACGTATGCAACAGCACAACGGGGTCGGAGAAATTAGCATCCCATTTGAATTATTAGTAGGTGATTAAATATATATAGCATCTATTTATTTTACGTACCAGCAGGTATTATAAAATATGCCTGGTGCAACATTGCGTATGCGTAATATTACATTAAGTATACGTATTCAGATTTACTGAACTGAAAAGACTGAAAATCTGGTATGTAGAATTCAAATACACTCATGAAAATAGTATAAAGACACTTATTTAATATTTTTTTATTTACCCCCTGGCTTAAATTGAATGGCTTTATTTTGCTGACTACCAGCGTGCGTTTAAAAATAAATAATATACGTCTACACACAGACTCTCTATATACGTGGGCACATAAACATAAATAAACGATTCCTACGTTAAGCTCTCTGTCGTTTTTCAGCTTCTTCTTGCCCAGCTTTTTTTCTCAATGTATTTTCTGTCATAAAAGTCACGCGGCCTGTGTGAATTTTTCGTTTTATTTTTCCCTCTGTTTTGTTGATCACTGGTCGAAGGGGGCGTGGTGGGCGGTAAATGGGCGGGTCGGATACATTACTTCAAGATCTGTGCAAGTCAACAAGTGATCGAATGCCCATTGCACATTTTTGCAAGGGTGGCGACAGAAATAAACAAATAGTTCAAGCGCTCAGTAAATCGATTACCTCAGTTTATTCATGCATTTGAGCACGTCGTATTGTCAGTATTTCCATACTATAAACATTTAAACGGGGCTCATATTCAGTTCTTAGCAGAAGTTCTCTAGAGGCATTTTATCAATAACAATTATCAGAAATAAATTTCATTTGAGATAGCATGGTTTTTATTAGGTGAAGGAAAATAATGATAACTAAATTGGTAATTTTTATAGTTATTTATTTTTATAATACTTAATTTTTATGGTTAAGCCTGAAAGTGTAGGCACTTATCGGATAAAAACAAACATTGTACATTCCTTAGTAATTATTCTGTAGAACTTTGCAGTTTAGTTAATGATATTTTCCATACATCTTCATTAATTTGAATCTCATCTGCGAATACGGCCACTTGACAACCAGCCACTGACTTCACAAACTAATGGTCAATTAAAACGGAACACGAGCCAGTCTCAAAATCCCCCCTTTTGTTGGGTGAGTTCTTTGCTCAGTTTTATTAAATATGATTTTGATTCGACTTCTCAGCTACTCGACACCCCAGACATAAAGCGTCACATGAACTTAATGTCTGCAATTGGATGCCCACAGTTATCGCTCGGAAAGTGAAAACTGATTAAATTCAGTGTGAATACAGCAACCCATTCGATTAGATTTCCATTTGAAGGTATATAAACAAACGCGAATTCTTGAGTTTCATACAGTTGAACCTCAGTTGGAACCAGACTAGATTAAGCTTTGCAATAACACAGATATTTGAATATGGCTTCCTATCGATTAGATTACCATTTCAGAACATATACAAAAACGCGAATTCTTGAGTTTCATGCAGTTATCACTCGGAAATTCGAACTAGATTAAATTGAGCTTTGCAAAAACAAAGATGTTTGAATATGGCACCATATCGATTAGATTTCCTTTTAAAAATATATACACAAACGCGAATTCTTAAGTTTCATACAGTTATCACTCGGAAATTGGAACTAGATTAGATTAAGCTTTGCAATAACACAGATATTTGAATATAGCACCCAACTCGATTAGATTAGAAAACGCGAATTCTTGAGTTTCATATAATATTTACTCGGAAATTGAAACCGGATTAGATTCAGCTTTGCAATAACAAAGATATTTGAATATACCGCCCAGTTCAATTAGATTTCCATTTAAAAACAAATACAAAAACGCGAATTCTTAAGTTTCGAATTCATACTTGATAATATTACAACATAGCAAACATGGTTCAGACTAAACAAAATTGGAACGTCCTACAGTAAAACAATTCGAATTTCCATAATAGACTAACCACTGTACCTTGTTTTAAGTGAAATATACCTACGCCTAGCGGTGCACGTAGCCTTTGCGGATAATTGTGTGTGGATGTGCGATATATCTTCGTATTTTTAGGGGTCGAACATTGTTTGGGCTTGTCGGCTGATTTTCGTCCGCTAATTACTTAGACACTCTAACGCAAAACAAACTGCAAAGATATTAGAGTAATAACAGCAGCGGCTGACGTGATAGGGGATTTCAGAAATTGTCGGTCTTTAATATCTGCATTATCATTATCACCCGGTATTTATACCATGCTGTTTGGCAACAAATCAATTTAAATTTACCAGCGTCACTACGTGCAATTAATCATATTTTGACACAAGTATGGTGAATACTTATGGAACTCATGACTTTTGATATAAAAACATAAATGATGGTAATATTATTAGATTAATTACACAATTAGTCTTCATAGTCCAATTGTGTAAAATCTGAAAAATAAAGAAATCAAAAATAAAGCTAATTTGGCAAAAATACTTTATCAATAGCCGAATAAGGAATTTTTGAGTTAAATCTTCTAAATAATACGAATTTGCTCACATTGGAATGTATGCTATCTATAGACTATCAAGAGTAAACATTTTCGTATTCCCCCTGACTGTTGTTTAAATAATAAGCTAAAGTGATGACTAAGTGATACACTGACCTCCAAACTAAATTTAAGTTTGTAAAAAGCACACTTGACATATGTTATAAATATATACATTTCTTTCAGTGCACTTGACCAACTCCAGGGAGGATGGGAAGTCACATTGCCTACGTCAGCGCCACTAAAATGAGTAATAATCACGCGCTGGTCGGCCAAATTTCTGGGTCGAGGAAAAGCTGCTGCAAATGAATATTTGAAATATGCAAAGCTCGGCGGGGGAAGTTCATGCATCTTAATTGGCAGACGGCCAAATAAAAAACGATTTTCCTCTGCCGGCCGTCGTTGGTAAATATTTTCAGTTAATTTTGTTGCGGGCGTCGCGTCAGAAATTCTTGAATCGAAATATTCGGATGGGAGAACAAGGACGGATCTACAGATCCTGACCACAAGTTAGGAACCAGTTACCAGGCCAAGATCTTGATTACTCAGCCCAGTATTTATAGGCTAAGATATTTGATTAAAATTTGTCATCGTTTTAGGGCTTTTTTAATTATCAAAAAATATTTTAAAACAAGTAGCAAGGGATCGAAATAATTTCTGGGATATTATATAAATTGGTAAAAAAATGTTTTATAAATTAGAAAAATTTAAAAATTATCTTTTGGGGAATATATAAATTTTAACAAATTGTTCATGTCCATTTCTCCTCTTTTCTAAATGAATATGTATTAGAATTTAAATTGTTTGTTTACTTATTAACGTAAGCTCTGTTAATTAAACGAAGCATGCAAAGTTCCCTCTGCTTGTGTCGCAAATTCGTTTGTGCTAATTAGAGCTAAATGCCTGGATGGCCTACTGATGGCTTGATTGATCGACTGACGGATCGAATGTCCGCGCTTCACCTTTTGACACTTATTTTTGACCAACCATCCCCCCACACCGAATCAATCAAAGAACTTGGTTACAAGTGTTTGCTTAACCCTCGAGGGACATGCGAGCCACAAATGCGACCGAAATAAACCGCACTCCATTCGCTTAATTGATTTGTTCTGTATCGACAGACGTCTTGAGTTCCAAGTCCCGACAAAAGTGTCAATGGCCCTCTCCCGGTCCCAAGTCCATGTCCAAAATTCTCAATTCGGTTTGCCACTTCTCATAATCAGAGCAGCGGATTACACGTGTCCCCAAAACGCGAACTGAAATTATATGCTAATTTCATAAATTCACTTTCGATTTCTTAACACCTTTGGTTTTTTTTATAGTCTGTTGCGAAAGTTTTGCTGATAAATCGGGTAAGAACCAGTTGTAATCTATCTGAAACTTAATCGGCGTTTAATTCAATTGTATTGCCACTGATGCCACTGGCTAACCGGTTACAATCTGCCTAGAAGCGGTTAATGCTAATTGTTTAAGCCAAATATTGTTGGCATAGGGAAGTTATTAGAAGGTTAATGTGGTTAGATAATGCTGTTGTATTGGATATGCATTCAAAAGTGTGTCGCCTATTAGACTGTCATATTTGCATGTTTTTTGGACGGTAGATAGTTATGGATAAGCAAAATCAATCGGGTTTAATTAACCTATATGTCTGGTGACAATAAATTATGGTTTATTAAGTCTACGAATTGATAATATGGTGATTATTCAGAGATTGCTTGATATTTTTGCATAATATTTTTTTGGGGATATTGCCGGCTTGAACATAGTGGAATTCTTTCATAGTTCACATTTACGAATAATTCTTGAACTTTGGTTTTTATTTAAAAATTTAAAGAAGAAAAAATATGCTTTTTGTAATAAAGGAAGTATGCGGTTTGGTAGTGATATTGTGTTTTTTGTAATGACCCTGCTTGTTCGCGTTATCTGTCTGCGCATGAACATCCCGAATCGTTTTTTGAAATGCTATTATTTCAATATGTGTTGTGCTCCATTTGCGTCAGGCATGCCCACCTCTGCCACCTCTTCTTCAGAACCCGAGCTCCCCTTCTCCATAGTGTTTTATTGGATGCTGTCGAAATGCTGCTCGCCCTATTCTTAATTGAAATGTATCGTTTGTCGTTTAACGTAGCTTTGCGGACCTCCCTCTTCGCCTTCTTTAATTTTTGTTGTTAATTGAGGTTCCGCAAAGCAGGGGAGGGGGGTTCTACGTCTGGGCGGAAGAACGACAAAGTCAATGTCAAGGCGAGCCGTGCACTTAAGGCAAGTGGGTGGCAGGGGGGCGTGTCGGCATTTTGCTATGAACGCAAACTGTTGGAAACGTTCTACTAAAATAAAATATCACCGTAAAGCACACAGCGGAAAAAATGTAATATTTTTATTAGGATCTGACAGCCGTTTATGCTTTTTAAATGTGCCATAAAAATGTGCTATTACCAAGCTCAAAGTATTGCATACATTCTGGCGACCCATTGTGGCGATTCTCAAAGAAGCCAACTAAAAATAGCCGCAATATTTGTTGGATCGATAGGGAATTTGGTATGTGGTTGGGTATAAGAAAAACAAAGATATTGACTTTGGGTCAGAATTTTCTATCATTAAAATAACGTTAGCTGGGTCACTTCTTCTCTCAGTGCACTCCCTTTATAACGCCACTTGTCACTGTTATAACTGTTAGTGCTCGCTGTCATTTTTAGCCATAATATTTGTGACACACACATTCAGAAAAACCATTCGGGTGTTAATTTTTGACGGGTATAACACCTTGACATTGTCAACAAACAACGCGAAGGTCATCGAGAAAAGTCTGACCACTGAGCAAAGGGCATTCTAGATATACCTATCAAGTAAATATCTCTTGCATCTTATATGCAATATTTAAAAAGGTCGTAGAAGGTTAATTATAATTTATAAAGGTATATCAATATAAATGAAAATATTAAAGATCTTTAAGCTTTATATAATAGAAGAGAACTTCCTTCTCTATAAGAGTTTACGCATAAGCTTTTAGCCTTCGTAGTATAGACACCAACCCAATAAGATTCTGCTGAATAAGAACTTAAGCCACAGAGATCATCTTATAATGGTATAGGAATTATCGTGTTGTTTTCTAATTTATTTACTGTTTCTCACAAGTAGGGATTGGTTTTTTTGTTTAACACTCAGACCGACGATTGCTATCATAACAGAGCAGACTAAACCCACCTTAAAGTCGGCAGATAATCGTGTGCTAATCAGTTTTTCTGTCCCCAGTTTTATTACTTTCTTCTTTTTGAACTGGAATCGGTTTTTATATAGCGCTGTCGCTGCCTCTTCTGTTGGCATATCAATTTAACCCAATTGATTTTTAATTGACTCGTGACGCGCCGAGCGTTATGGTGGACTGCTCTGCCAACGTCCACGATGATGACGCTAATGATCGTCGTAATAATTACAGAGCTATAAATTCATTTGGATTCGTTTCGGGGCAGCCGAGAATATTAGGCGAAATTCGTTTATGCAAGGCGGTTGCAAAATAGAAAGGTTATGGTCCACATATGAGATCTCGGGAACAATAAAAATCATTTCAAGAACCAAGCAAATAGCTGGCGAATCTTTAAGTGTAGTCGATATATAAAAATATGCAAATTGATTGGAAAAGGCTTCTAAAAATACCATCGAACAGCTGCAATGGAAAACACGGTCCTGCTTCCGTTTCGTTTGATTCCCGATTTCGTTATCTCTTATGCATGGTGGAAACTGCGGCACATGTCCATGGGAATAGAAAATTAGAAATAGCTGGCAGCTGAGTAAAAGCCAAGAACACTTTTCTCCTCATGCAAGCTTAATGCCTCGGGTTCAGGTTCTGATGAAATACAGAGTACAGAAATTGGCTTCTCAAGCTGTTGCCAGTGGGTCGAAGAGCGGGGAGCATACAAACACCAGACAGATGGAGAACTTGGGGGGGGGGGACGCAAGAGGACCTCTTCGAGGCATTGAACTCATTTTTTCCCTGTTCGGGCGCCATTCAATTATTTGTAAGCTTAGCAAGGACACGCACACAGATGAAAGTGCACGATGACACACACACACACACACAAGGGTACATACATCAAGAAACTTTTGTTTGTGTGCGGGCTATGAATTTTAGAGGCTCGTCGTTTTTACCTCTACCCCACGTCGTTTTTCCCCGTTTTCCTTATATTCCCCAAGAATTCGCCGAGTCTGTTACCTACTCTCTCACTTTAGATGGAAAACTCTATAAATGTAGCACTTTAACGATAAAATCAGATACGATTTCTTAATCAGATGAGTTATTATTAGAATGACGAGTTCTTTCGTCTTAATTTGAATACCTTATAGACATGATGGTATTTTAATACATCACAAAATATAAAAAATATTAATTATACATTTTCTTTGTATATTTTAAGACTTTCCTTCATAACATTCTTGATATTATGTAGTACAATTGATTTCTTTCAGTAGGATCTCTTCTGTTTGCTTACTCCAATACCTTGTAAGATAGAATACAGACTTAATTAAAAAGTGATTGTCCTTTGTATAGCAGGGATTTTAATGATTCAAACAATTTGTGCAAACTTCTGACGGTTTTCTCATCAAATATATGAAATTTTTATAGGCGACGGCTGCCGCAATCGTTCGAAACCGGTCCACGTGTCAGTTTTGGGTGGGTATATAACATAATATATACATATATGGATATATGGGGCACGCCCCTTGCCCGGTGGCCACCTGTTTTTATGACACCCCCGCACTTACGCAATGGAAGCCGGCTCCTGGTGACGTTGCCAGCTGCTCATGTACATCCACCACTATATATATATAGATATATATACTTCTGTGGGTATTTATGTGGCCTGAGTCTGGGTTAAAAATAGACAAAGTCGGGAAAGTGGGAAAACGGAAACCGGTATTCTGCGGGAAAGCTCTGCTCACGGGACCTGCGCTGTGGGCCATGTCCTTGCCAGGACATCTCGGCTTGATAGCTGATAACAGCTCGCAGGCTGTGTTATCGCCACCAACTTTCACTGCCTTTCACTGCCTTTCACCCCATCACGTTCTGCCATTCCTGAGCGCCGCTTCGGCGATGTGAAAGTTTCACGGCAGCTGGGGAATTGCGCCCCCGAAAAAGCACGTAGCACACTTTGCGGGGCTGTCAAAGGGTCTCGCCCCAAGGACCTGCCCACCACCACCCCCTCTTACTGGGCAAATGACAAAGCCAAGGACATTACGAGTACGTGAGCACAATGGCGAACTTCTTAGCCCTGGCCCCCAAATTCCGTAATGGCAATGATGCCTTCTCTCATGTTCATTCAAATGAAATCTGCTAACTGCGACGCTCAACCCTCAACTACATTAAATCACTGGCGGAAAAATTGCATCATTAAAAGAAAAATGTAATAAAATACAGGATTTAAAATTAAACTAAAGATCACGAGTCCAACATCACATATACAAAAATTTCAACTCAAAGTACATTAAATCCCAGGGGAAAAAATGTCATAATTAAATGAACAAGTCGTAAATTAAATACAGACTTTAACATTATTAAAGAACATGAAAA